AAGAACCACGCGGAACACAATTCGACTGCCCGAATGATGGGGCGTGCAAACAAGGTTGGTCCAAACTCGATGTTCAAATCCTGACAAATCTGCGACGCTGGTTCGTGATTTTGCGTTTGTGGCCCAGCATGGGTTTCATGCTTGCAACGCTTCGGAAACTACATGCTGTTGTGCTGGAAGCTACATGTTAAACACGAAAATGCACATATTGAATATTTGAAAACGGATTTCTTGGGTGTTAGCATAAGCCGAAGTTCGATGTTAAAACAAACTAGTTCTACAATAACCGTTTACGTTGAGCTGTCGATAAGCAGTTTAGCATATATACAATGAAAAGCTTCGTTGAACCAAAACCTTCTTAACAACAGCTGAACCTCTACGACTGTCTATATTGGCTCATGGAAGTCCACATGGACTTTAGCTAAAAATGTCGAACAAGTTACGTAGCTATAGCATCGTGCTGCTGGCTTGCAAGCGGGTCTAGTGCGCACTCCAACCACCTTGTCATACCCTTAGAAAGCCCATGAGCTGTAACGAAGCCGACATTCACCTCAGCAGTTTCCCCCTCCCAGCCACGGCCGCAGCCGCAGCCGCGGACGCAGCCGCGGCCGCGGCCGGGAGAAGAAAACCACCGCGAAAAAATCGCGATAGTTTCCCCCTCGCCGCGGCCGCAGCCGCAGCCCCGACCGCAGCCGCGGCCGGGGAAAGAAAACCACCGCGAAAAATTCGCGATACTTTCCCCCTCCCAGCCACGGCCGCAGCCGCAGCCCCGACCGCAGCCGCGGCCGCGGCTGGAAAAAGGAAACCGCCGCGAAAAATTCACGATAGCTCCCCCGCTCCCAGCCGCGGCAGCAGCCACGGCCGCGGCTGGGAGAGAAGCCACCGCGAAACATTCAACTCCGCCATGCAATACATTTTCTTCATTGTTTTCCCCTTCTCCTCCGTCCCAAACACCGCTGAGAGCGATCAACGGTCGCCGGCACTTCTGACCGACTCAGTCCATCGCCGCTTCGCGGCTGGGGGAGAAGCCACCGCGAAACATTCAACACCGCCACACAATGCAATTTCTTCGTTGTTGTCCCCTTCTCCTCCATCCCCAATACCGCTGAGTGCGATCAGCGGTCGCCGGTACTTCTGACCGACTCAGTCCTCCATTCCTGTTCCAATGACCGGCCAGGAGGTTGGCTCTGGCGGCTGCGAACCCGCAACAAGCTAGACATCACCGCAAAATTATCTCATCGGCCCTGGCACTAAAGTGGGCATCGAATCCTAGACTACTTCCAGCTAGCGCTTGCCCCAGGAACGACTTACTTCCCGCTCTGGCCCTGGCGTCTTTAGGGACTCTCGCGCCACGTGCTCTTTCTTGGCATTCAGCCCTGTGACCATGTGACTATGTCCCAGGGGCGACGTGAGGCCCCAGCAGTAGTGGCAACTCGCCGCGCCGCCGGTTCTTGGGTCCGGTCTCCCGCCAGTGCTTGGGATGGTCGCCAGCCAGTTCTTGGGATGGTCGCCCCTTCGGAATTTGGGTCCGGTGCCCGCCAGTTCTTGGGATGGTCGGCCGCCAGTTATCGGGTTGGTCGCCCATGGACTAGGATTTCTCCCCTCACGTGTGTACCGAGCAGTTTAAGGACATGCTCAGGTCGGAAATGAGAACAGATTTCTACACATGCGCAGGCCCACACAGCCGAGGCCACGGCCACGGCCACAGCCACGACCACGGCCACGGCCACGGCCACGGCCACAGCCACGGCCACGGCCACGGCCACGCCAGGGCCACGGCCACGGCCACGGCCACGGCCACGGCCACCCACGGCCACGGCCACGGCCACGGCCACGGCCACGGCCACGACTACGGCCACGACCACGACCACGGCCACGGCCACGGCCACGGCCACGGCCACGGCCATGGCCACAACGGCAACGGCAAAGGCGATGGCCACGGCCACGGCCACGACCACGACGACCACCACGGCCACCACGGCCACGGCCACCACGGCCACGCCCACCACGGCCACGGCCACCACGGCCACGGCCACCACACCACGGCCACCACGGCCACGGCCACCACGGCCACGGCCACCACGGCCACGGCCACGGCCACCACGGCCACGGCCACCACGGCCACGCCCACCACGGCCACGGCACCACGGCCCCGGCCACCACGGCCACGGCCACCACAGCCACGGCAACGGCCAGGGCCACCACGGCTAGAGCAACCAGCCACAGCTATCACGGCCACGGCCGCTACGGCCAAGGCTATCACCACGGCCAGCGGCGAAGGCCACCCGGGCACAGCGAGCACGGCCACAGCCATCAAAGCAGGCCACCATGGCCACGGCCACCATTACCACGGCCACGGCGCCACCACGGCCAGGACCACCACCACCACGGCCAGAGCCAGCACGGCCACGGCCACCACGGGCACAGCCACCACGGCCACGGCACGGCCACCACGGCCACGGCCACCACGGCCATGGCCACCACGACCACGGCCACCACCGAGAACGGTCACGGTGACCACGGCCGACAGCCACCACGGCCACAGACAGCACGGCCACGGCCGCCACGGCCCGGTCATCACGGCCATGGCTACCGCCACAGCCACCACGGCCAGCGGCCGCGGACACACAGCCACGGGCGCGACGGTCACGGCCACCACAGCCACGGCCACCACGGTCTCAACAGCCTTCACAAAATAATGGAAAGAAAACCATATCGATGCCCGAACTCGGTCTGCTACCAGAGCTTAACCCAAAAAAAAAATTGTGTTCTGCTATATGTTATAAATGAAAACGATTTCCTGAGCTGAACTCGAGCTGCGGAGAGGGAGTCACCGAAGGAGGATCAGAAGGGAGAACGAAGAAAAACGTTGTGATCTGAAGGAACAATATACAATATGAATAATATGTTTGGTTCCATTTCTGGAGGCGGAGAGAATTCGGACATCTAGATTCGGGTGTCTAATCATTTCCTTCCAATCAATCTGCCAATCAGCTCTGTAATTTATCTACAGCTCGAGTTGTCTCAAGGTAAGTATATCATCCCTCTTGAAGAAAAAACAGAATACGAATTGTTTTTTCGGACCCAGCTCTGGCAGCAGTCGAGTGCGCACTTTAAACTAGCGTTTCTGCCAATTCATGTCCTGTCGATATGCCGAACAGTTATGTAGCTCATCGTTTGCTCGAGTTCAGTCAAAAATGGCACCATCTCTAAAAAATAGCACAATGCCAATAATATTTGTTCGACTCAGCGCCGGTAGCAGACCGAGCTCAGAAATCTAGATACTTCAGACTAGCACGCCTGATGAGCTTCTTCTGCCTGCTCTGCCGAGCAACTCTGTATGGCGATGTGTCAGCCATGACTATCGTAGTGGTGGCCCTGGTGGTCCTGGCCGTGGTCGTGGCCGTGGTGGTCGTTGTGCACGGTTGCTCCAAATGTGCGGGAACTGCGCGACAGCTAGAACCCTGAAAATTGCAGTCGCACGCGACATCATCGACTGCACGGCGCAAAGTCTGCATTTCAAAAACGGGCTACAGGCTCATTTGGGCCCCTGCGTTTTTAGGATAAATCAGCATACCGTGTTCCACACCCTTTCTCGTATGCGTTTTTCTCTCTCCTCTCTTCCTCCTCCTCCTCCTCCTCCTCCTCGTCCTCCTCCTCGTCCTCCTCCTCCTGCTCCTCCTCCTCCTCCTCCTCTTCCTCCTCCTCCTCCTCTTCCCAATCGGATTCCATTAGCGGGGGCGGAATCCAGCAGAACCCGGGGGGGGGAAGGGAAAAAAAAAAAAAACAAAAAAAAAACCCGTTGAGGCAGAGATTCATGGCTGGGGGGGGGGGGGGAAGGTCTCCTCAGGATTGTGTTTTTTGTGCTTGTTTTGATTTTTTTCCCCAAGGCTCTGCTGGATTCCGCTCCCGATACTGGAATCCGATTGGGAAGCGGAGGAGCAGAAGGAAAAAGGAGGAGGAAGAGGAGGAGGAGGAGGAGAAGGCGGGGGAGGAGGAGAGGAGGAGGAAGAGGAGGAGGAGGACGAGGAGGAGGAGGACCAGGAGGAGGAGGAACAGGAGGAGGAGGAGGAGAAGGAGGAAGAGGAGGAGGAGCAGCAGCAGGAGGAGGAGGGAGAGGAGGAGGGGGAGGAGGGGGAAGAAAAACGAGGAGGAAGAGGAGGAGGAGGAGGAGGGGGGGAGGGAGGGAGGAAGCGCGAGCAGGCACGCCGCACCTCGATCGAGGCTCAAGCAGCTCGTGGCGCGCTCGCGCCGACACCGCGCCCTTCGCCCCGCCCCGCCACCCCCCTGGCATGGGGAACCCCAAGCCAGGAACGGCCGCCCACGCGAAGAAGAAGGCGCGCAACGCCGCCTACAACGCCCGCAAACGCGCGGAGAAGAAGGCCGCCGCCCTCGAGGCGGTGGTCGAGCCTTACACGAGGAAGATCGCGCGGCTGGAACACAGGGTGGGCGGATAGACAAACCTGACGGCGCGCACGGTGCGCAACGTGCGTGCCTTGTGCGCAGTG